AACATTGCCTCCGCGGCTCCTACCACCTACTCCCTGCAATAACAGTTTGCTAATGAATCTACTAATCAGTTGATATCGTAGTTAATCTACTGCCACATCAAAGATCTAATCGCACCATAATTCAGAATTCAAAGTCAGTTATCTGTGGTATAAACACCAGTCTTCGAAGGCCAATAGTCCACAAATTTTGACGAAAGGAGAAAGCTCCCTGCTGTTTAGGCTGACACACGGGTTGTTTGGTACTTAAAAGAGGCATTTATTCCGCTTGAAGTATGCCATCCTGTTATAGTGACACATTGTTGGGGGTCACAATCCCCGGCAACCACGGTAAGGTGACCCAGTGTCAGGGAGACAGAGATGTGGTCTTTCCCTGCCATCAGTGACATGCTCGGGAACACTAACATGACAGGTAAGAGATAACATGATAGCTCGTTGCTGACGATAGTGAGGAAAAGACGTGACATGATAATGTCTCCACACACAGAGTGGGAGAAGACACGAAAATGATCCACACTGAGTGGGACAAGGCACGAAAATGATCCACACTGAGTGGGACAATGCACGAAAATGATCCACACTGAGTGGGACAAGGCACGAAAATGATCCACACTGAATGGGACAAGGCACGAAAATGATCCACACTGAGTGGGACAAGGCACGAAAATGATCCACACTGAGTGGGACAAGGCACGAAAATGATCCACACTGAGTGGGACAAGGCACGAAAATGATCCACACTGAGTGGGACAAGGCACGAAAATGATCCACACTGAGTGGGACAAGGCACGAAAATGATCCACACTGAGTGGGACAAGGCACGAAAATGATCCACACTGAGTGGGACAAGGCACGAAAATGATCCACACTGAGTGGGACAAGGCACGAAAATGATCCACACTGAGTGGGACAAGGCACGAAAATGATCCACACTGAGTGGGACAAGGCACGAAAATGATCCACACTGAGTGGGACAAGGCACGAAAATGATCCACACTGAGTGGGACAAGGCACGAAAATGATCCACACTGAGTGGGACAAGGCACGAAAATGATCCACACTGAGTGGGACAAGGCACGAAAATGATCCACACTGAGTGGGACAAGGCACGAAAATGATCCACACAGTGAAACGTCTCGGGGAAACTTAAATTTTATTTTTTTTTTCAAAATGGGGGTTTAAGGGCTTCCTGCAGCCCTAGGGCCATATGCAGTCCAAGAGGCGTAATGCAGCAATAGAACCGTAATGCAGCATTTGGGGCGCATGCAGCCCTGAAAATGCTTCAGCCGTCCCTGATCCGCAGACTGCAGCACAAGGTTAATTTCGAATCAGGGTTGACATGCAACAATCATCAGAGTCAACAACTGCAATCTTAATTATTCTGTTAGATAAACATGCTTCTATTGTATGTTTTTCTTCTTAATAAACGAGATCAAATTTATGCTTTCATTTAGGTTTTTATTTCTGCGTTTATTCGTTTAATGTGTCTGTAAATATTTCCGTTTTCACGTTGGCTAAAATATCGGAGGTTAACTGACTGGAGATTTATTTCTCTTTAATGTTACTGAAGAAAGAATCCTTAACAAATTTTAATATTTTTAATGGCATGGGAGTACCGGTACACTGCCATGATTTTGTTGACCCGACTGAGCCTTTGCATCAAATTCACTGACTTTTCTTTCAACATTGAGGTCTACAGGAAGAAGTTCGGTTTGTATTTTCGGGTCCTCTGAAAGTGCTGTCCTAACCTTATACCCAGAATCTCCGGAAGCTGAATGTTTCTCTAACAATCCTCGTCCCCTCAAACCATCAGCTGGATACGACGTTAAATGGTGTAGAAAACCGACAAGTTGAAGAGTGAGACTCTTGTTTAAGACTTGCAAATCTTTACTGGTCAGGGAGTGACCAGGTGAGTATAACCAGGTGAGGGGTGTGGTTACGTCAGGGTGCGGCTGAAGAAGCCAGCCAGTGACTTCTTCCGTCCAATATAGAGAAGAACGGTGGAAGATGAGTGTGAGGTAATCAGTCCCTCAACCTGGATACATTACAGGAGGGCATCCTCAAGATGACACTCAGAATACTTCAAAGATGAGAGAACCATTCAGCGCCAACCATTCAGCTCATCCTTGAGGAGAAGATTCCATTTCCTGGACGTCAAGTTAATCAAGAAGGAACCCTAACTTATTCAAAGCATAACCCGAAGTGCTACTTCTCAAACAAGAAAACCAAATGATGAGAGTAGGAGCGTATAGCAAATTCCTCGAAGTGGACTGCTGCATTATCGGCGAAAGTTTTACTTCAAATCTGATAAAGAAATGCTGGAGAAATCATTGTGTAGATGAAAACCCAAGACAGAACATCAAAACAAGGTGTATAGGTGTGGCAATTAGTCTTTCAATCCAGAAGCAAATGTTCAGAGGTAAAAGACGTAGTAATCAGTCCCTCAGCCCCTGAGATGAGGGACTGATTACCCCATCTACTACCTCCTCAGTCTCAACTGAAGACAAGTAGGTGTGCGTCACCACTCCTTATTCCTCACTCTCTCTCTATTAAGTCTTATATTGTAGCGTTTACAGGTTAAATAAAAGAGCACACAAGAGCATGATATGTTTACACAGCAGCAGCTGACAGCCTTGCATTTACAAGTTCCATTAAATCTCTTCCGTCAGCCTAATTATAAATTTGGCTTGCTAACCTCTTTCTTGGGGTTAAAATAAAAGTCTCGTCTCTGGCTGGAGTATCGCGTCACGACCTTCGTGACTAGCACTGTATCTATTCTATTTACCAGCTATTGTCATATTTATGGAGAACAACTAAACCTTGACCTGGTCAGACGTTGACCTATTCACACCATTACCCGGTCACACCCTGACGTGGTCACACCTCTCACCTGGTAACACTTTCACATGGACGCTCCCTGACCAATGAGGAAGATCTTAACCCATGCAGCGCCTGTTTGACGGGAGATAACTAGTTTCGATCCGAAGAACGGGAAGGATAGCGCTCATTCCTCGGATCACAAGCCCTTCATAAGTAAGCTGGTAGTTCGATTAAGGTGAAATTATTAAGAAGAGACACAGGGGTAAAACGAGCCTGTATTGTGAAGACGTTTCGCCCTATGAACACATTTGTTCTCAACGCCCGTGTCTTCTCCAACATCCGTGTCTTCTTCAACAGCCGTGTCTCTTTCAACAGCCGTGTCTCTTTCAACACCCCTGTCTCTTTCAACACCCGTGTCTGTTAAACACCCATGTTGTCTCTTGCAATAGTGTCATCAGTGGCACTGGAAGTATATAACGGTGTTGCCACAAGAGGTTATGACTCCCAGCTCCCCCCCCCCATATAATTACGAAGGAAAGGGGAGGGGAGAGAGGGGAACGGCACAAAGGCTGGGCAAGTGGTCCCCTCCACCTTCAACCCCTTCCCCCATAGGTCAGGCAATCACGACTGTATGCTAAATAATGATCGTTTAGGTTAGTTGTTGCGAGTAGGTGCCACTGCCTGCCCCTCCCGGCACTGCCTGCCTCCACCTTCCACAGCCTGCTCCACCTATCACTACTTGCCCCCTTCCGGCACTGCCCGCCACACCTATCACTACACTCACCTGGCACTACCTGCCCCAACCTGGCACTACCTGCCCCAACCTGACACTGCCTGCCCCCACCTGGCACTACCTGCCCTAACCTGATACTGCCTGCCCCCACCTGGCACTACCTGCCCCCACCTGACACCACCTACACCCACCTGTCCTTAATGGCTGCCACTACTCACCATCAAGACCTGAACAACATTCGCACTTACGCCCACTGACTGAACGGTCGAGTCTTCCCCGCGACCTCCTGAACTGTGGGAGACGCGAGCCACAGAGACATATATCCTCACCTTCTGCGTATTATATTCAGGGAGAAGTGCTGAACCGAGGAATGATTGCCTATGAGACTTGACCCGAGGAAGGGAAAAGGCAGCTCTAATTTCTCGGATCAAGAGTCCTAAGCCAACATGAAAACACCCATCTCTGAAAAATTACCTGCTGCGTAAATCTGTAAGGATACAATCTCTGCGTAATAACGCCAAGCGTAGTAACCATGTTACAGTAACGACAAGATAAGGAATTACACACATGTGCGACACCTGCTGAGTAGATTTATTAGCAAGACGTTTCACCAGCTTCAAGACTGAGGTACCGAACACCAACTTCCAGACTGAAGGACTGACTGCCTCATCTTCCACTGCCTTCTGTATATAGTTCTGTAAGGCTGAGGGACTGATTGCTGTACCTTCTACTGTCCTCGTACATCTCTGTACCGAACTGATAAAAGAAACTGGTTGGCAAGATGTCTTCAAATAAAGATACGTAGGTATGGCGTGTGTGTCCAATTCCTTAACCGAAGACCGAAACAGCTAATAACTAGGATACAGGAAGCTGACTATTATTTACAAACATCTCTGACGGTCATAAAATCGTGAATACCTGCAGTATACGCAATATCAATACACTGATGGCGTAAGAAGAGAGAATTAAATAGAATATACGCAATTTACACACACACACACACACACACACACACACACACACACACACACACACACACACACACACACACATGTACGTTCTGGCAACAACCATACGCTACTCTAAAACACCTGTAAAGGAAAAAAAAAACAAATGTAAGACATCTGAAAAGTTGAAAAGTTAGAAGATTTATATTACGATAATGTACATGCAAGACAGGCACCACAGCAATGATGGAAATTAAGATGCCTACGAGGGAGGGGGAATTACTACTCTAGTGCGTCTCACACTAAGGATCATCACAACACCAGGCGGGATGCGCCATCACTCTTGTATTTTCGAGGTGGCATTTGAAAAAAAAAATGGAAATAAAACTAGTTCAAACATTGGAAAGAAATTTTAGCAGAAAAGAACGACATCTTAAAGAATTAGAGCCACTGAAAAATTTGAAAACATGGCCATAAAAATGGGATTTTATGAAAAAACTTACCAATTTGTACAGATTATGCAATCCCATCTTGGACCAAATGACGTCGACTTTCTCAGGACTAGTTAACCAAAAGTCTTGTGGGGGTTTTGGGGTGGCAGTGCGTGCTACCTGGGTCCAGTTATACAAATATTATTACACGTATATCTTTGTATATATACGTGTATTCATATATATATATATATATATATATATATATATATATATATATATATATATATATATATATATATATATATATATATATAAATTTATATATGAATATTTGTGTATATCTACGGCTTATATGGACATTAAACTAAATGCAAAATAATACAAACATAACTACACTACACTTGGGCAGAGGTAATGCAGACAGACACACCAACAGAACGCACACTCCACGCTAGACAACGGGGTGACTATGGCAGCGGTGGTGGTAGTAGTAGTAGTAGTGGTGGTAGTGGTGGTGGTTGGTGGTTGTAGTTGTGGTGGTTGTGTCGGGGTAGTGGTGGCTGCTACTCTAGGCTACGGCATGGGGGCTCCACACAACCTGTACTGGGCCTGCAACCACTAAGCTTGCCTATGTACAGATCTTTACCTCGTGAAGGGTTAAGTTCCACAAGCGAGAGAGAGAATGCTATATATCTTGCGTCAGATTTTATTACTTAAAGTTCGCTTTTGTGTTACAACACTGTTCCCGAATGTGGAGAAACACGGTAATTTCGTTCAAAGTTCCTGCCAGGGCTGTTTCACACGAAAAATGCGAAATTGGAATAAAACGCCAATAAAACAGTCGTTAAAACAAGCCAACATATAAGATAACTGCACCCAAACGGGTTTAAAACAAAGCGTTTTAAGAAATTAAGCCTTAATGTGAGATGGGCGAGGGTGTGGGCGGGGTGGGAAGTGATTGAGCTGCGATCTGCGGGGACGCGGAGGGGGGAGAGAGAGAGAGCGCGACGTGTAGCTCCAGAGACGGTACGAATGTGACTGGTGACCGCCCAGGCCTCCCTGCCCGGCCCCATCCACTTACATACCTCCCTCCTCTTTCTGGCTCCTTCTCTCTCTCTCTCTCTCTCTCTCTCTCTCTCTCTTTCTCTCTCCCTCTCTCTCTCTCACTCTCTATGCTTTACAAAGACACGCAACTGGTAAACAGAAGCAGTCTGGTCCTTCGCTCCTAAAATCAACCTGCCTTGCGTAAGGACCTGTCTCAGTAGTGACCCGGTACCATTCCAACTTAATGCATTAAAAATCAAGACAGTACATTTGACCTAATGGCTTATCCTAGATTATTTACACAAGCTTCACTCATTTGTAAAAAATCTAATCTTGCACACTGAACGTGAATAAAAATCGCTTGACACAGTGGAGTGCCTTGGCACTAAGCATAACGGCACTCCACATTAATTTAGCTCTACAATGGAATTTTGTACCAAATATTTATGTAATTATCAGTGGTGTAAATACTGCGAATGTACTTTAGTACTGCTGTGTACAACACCGTGTTTTTTTTCATTTCTGGCCAATTATTATTATGGGCAATAATAAGCAATAAGTTACGCGTGTGTAAGCACACGGGAACAAAATTCAGACTAGGCAATTACGAGTATGTAATTACAGATGGGTAATTACAAGTTGTTACAAGGGAATTACAAGCAAGTACACAAATAACCCGCACATAGGAGAGAGGAGCTTACGACAACGTTTCGGTATGGCTGTAAATGGTCCAAGTCTGACCGAAACGTCGTTGTAAGCTCATCTCTCCTATGTGTGGGTTATTTGTATATTGTTCCAGTCACGGTATTGTGCCTTTTTGTTCATTACAAGTACACATCAAATGTACGAAACAGAGGTAAACCCAGAAAACATACATGGGTTTACTGATATACGTATTACAAACTTTGAACTCATCACACGAACAAATTAAAAAAAAAAACTTACGAAATCTCCCATAAATACAGTTTAATTAAAACTCTGGTGTGTGTGTGTGTGTGTGTGTGTGTGTTATGATGACAATGAGTGATCTAAAAGGAATAATTTAAAGAGTGTAAGGAGAACGCCAGGTTGTTGGGAATTTTTTATTTTTTTTTTTTTAAATAAAGATGGAGCGAGATAGGTTGACCAGGAAGGATTGGAAGGAGGGTGTGAAGGTGGTGGTGGTGGTGGTTTTGAGAGGTATGGCTTGACCATCTAGCAGGCTTGGTCGATCTGTGTGAAGTCAAGTGGGCAAGGAGATTTGAGGATAATGATTAGCTGGACCAGAATTCTTAAGATGAGAGTAACAGTGCCTGCACTTCTGGATGTGGGCGTAACAGTGCCTGCACTTCTGGATGTGGGCGTAACAGTGCCTGCACTTCTGGATGTGGGCGTAACAGTGCCTGCACTTCTGGATGTGGGAGTAGCAGTGCATGCACTTCTGGATGTGGGAGTAACAGTGCATGCACTTCTGGATGTGGGAGTAACAGTGCATGCACTTCTGGATGTGGGAGTAACAGTGCATGCACTTCTGGATGTGGGAGTAACAGTGCCTGCACTTCTGCATGTGGGAGTAACAGTGCCTGCACTTCTGGATGTAGAAGTAACAGTGCCTGCACTTCTGGATGTAGGGGTAACAGTGCCTGCACTTCTGGATGTGGGAGTAACAGTGCCTGCACTTCTGTAAACGCTGAATCCCTAAGAATCCTTCAGAAAGATATAGAGGCCTGATCGGAAGAAGGGCAGAGTAGCCCGAATTCCTTGGATCATGAACCCTTCACCAGCGTCAACGCAAGACTTCCAGTGAAAGACTGACAGGAAATGTTCTCAAGATCACCAACATGTGATTCGTTTATTGCTCATTCTACTCTTATATAGTAGAAATATACGAGAGAGGGAGAGGGAGAGGGGGAGAGAGAGAGAGAGAGAGAGAGAGAGAGAGAGAGAGAGAGAGAGAGAGAGAGAGAGAGAGAGAGAGAGAGAGAGAGAGAGAGAGTCTCAGAGGCTGAGGAAACACCTCGGGGACACACATTGCGTCCTATTGACTGTTTCAGCAACAGACAGGAGAAAACTCATCAGCGAGACTGGCTCACTGTAGCCTTTTTTTTTTTGACCAATTGCGAGACTAATTAAGATGTGAGCTGCTCAGAATTTTAAATGACCAGTTAGCACTGTCAGCCAGATATATATATTTACATAAAAAAATATATTTTTCCCGGCATGAATATAGCCACAGAATATATGCCTCAGTGCACCAGCACAGCTCACGCATAAATTTACCAATGGAACGCATGAGCACACCAGAGTGCGTACGTCAGCTCTAACGAGGCTAACGCAAAAAAAGAATGAGTGCGTGTATTAACGCACCAGTGGAATGCAAGCATCAGTCCCCGGAACTCATTCTAGAAATCAACGTACGACCGTGCTCTTGCTTCTGGTACACACTGCTCATTAAAATGCTGCTTTCATCTGCGTTTCCCTAAACAGGAGTTATATATAATGAAAAGTTTTAACGAGTTACAGGATCCCAGAACAAACAACCACGAAATTTAGATATGAACATGAGTGAAAACTATAAACGTTGTTCCTATAACTAACACCACGAAATCGTAAATAACTGATTAATGAATCAATACAAATTATATATATATATATTATATATATATATATATATATAATATATATATATATATATATATATATATATATATTATATATTATAGGGAGGTACCACCTCTAGAACTGTCCTAGGGACCCTCATCCTCAGAGAAAAGAATAAACTTGATTCAGGGAAAAGCCAAGGTTCTCCCTGAAGCTGTTTGAGAATTTTCTCCTACCACCCCCTATATATAAAGTATGTTTTATTTAAAGACAAAATACATTGGCCAAACATTCACAAAAATACAACAGAAAGTAAAACAACATAGGTAACTCAGAGCTACATCTCGAATACTTCGTCCAGCTCCCCTGCGGTGGGCCGCGTGCCCAGAATGCTGCAGGCATTTCCTTTCTGGATCGCAACACTGAGTCTCTAAAAGAGGAAGTTGGTCGCCCTGTGGTCCTTGGTTTCTATGATGAGCTTTTCACCCAGCTCTTTGAGGAACTTTAGAGCACACTTGCCCCATGCTCCAAGGGTCTCCGACCCTATTGGAATGAAGTTGTACCAAGGGGGAAGGTCTTCATATTTTCGGATCTTCTGGGTCTTCCTGTGGCTGGCAGCTCCACCCCCATTCCAATACGGAGTATGGCAAATAGGTGTCTGCCAATGTGGCAGCACAGGTGTAGTCCCAGGCAATCTGCTTTCCATCCTTCCAGGGTAGCATCGTGGCTCCATCAGGAGGCTTTTGACTTCCATCAAACCTCTGTACTTGGGGTTCCCGTTGAGCTGGGCAACGGGCTGTGGCGAGGCTTCTCTTTATGATGTCATTGACCTCCTCATGTCTAGCATACTTCCCTTCTGCTGTGTGACACACGAGACCATGAAGTCCGAATTGATCAGCTGTCGCCCTGCCTCAAATACACCTATGTTCGGTGAGGATGGGGGCGGCTAGGCGTAGAGCAACACCAATCCGAATGGCCTGTGGGTCGAGACGGGTGCCCAGGGAGGAATTGGGAACAGCTAACAGGAAATCTCCTGAGTGTGGTGCCTTCACTGCCAGGAGACGAGCTTTGTTCTTTCCTGAAGCATTGGAGAGCATTGTGTTGGCGATTTTTTCCATAAAGGGTTTGCCCCAGTGGGACGTTTGGCTGTTTGGGGGGAGCTGGTCTACGGGAGGAGTCTGTAAGGGTGTCCCCGAATCGCTGCTTCGGAACCGGGGTTTTCTTGGCTCCTACCACGTCTTCAACTTTTCGGGGAACTATCTTTTTATGTAGTACTATTCTTGACTAAGCACTGGAAGCCAAACAGAAGACAGAAAAGCGGAAAAGCAACATGCGTTGCTTTACGCCCCCTATACCTCCAGTCCGCACTGGAGGGGCCTACCCCATTGCTCATCCTCTAGTGACGGGTTATCCTTCTTAAAAGGATCCAGGTTGGCATATTCATCGGGGTTTTTGGGTTTTGCAAAAGGGGGTGCACACTCAAAAGTGAGTGAGTCTTGGGATAATAAGACCCTTGTGAGGAGATACAGAGCATCATGGGCATCAAGATAGCT